TGCTCACCATCCTTAATCATCAGAGAAATGCAAATCAAAACTACTTTGAGATATCATCTAACTCCAGTAAGATTAGCCCACATCACAAAATCCCACAGAGATGTTGGCATGGATGTAGAGAAAGGGGAACACTTCTACACTGCTGGTGGGAATGCAAACTAATACATTCCTTTTGCAAAGATGTTTGGAGAACACTTAGAGAATTAAAAATAGAACTGCCATTCGATCCTACTGGTATATAGGTACAGGAATATATCCAGAAGACCAAAAATCAAATTATATCAAAGATATGTGTACCAGAATATTTATTGCAGCTCAATTCATAATTTCTAAGTCATGGAAGAAGCCCAAGTGCCCATCAACTCACGAATGGATCAATACATTGTGGTATATGTACACCATAGAATATTATGCAGCCTTAAAGATGAAGACTTTACCTCTTACATGGATATTTACATGGATGGAACTGGAACATATTCTTCTTAGCAAAGTATCTCAAGAATGGAAGAGAGAGTATCCAATGTACTCAGTCCTACTATGAAACTAATTTGTAGCTTTCATATGAAAGCTATAACCCAATTATAGCCCAAGAATATGGGGAAAGGGGAAAGGGAGGGGAGGGGAGTGGGGGAGCATGGGTGGAGGGAGGGTAATTGGTGGGACCACACCTATAGTGCATCTTACAAGGGTACATGTGAAACTTATTAAATGTAGAATATAAATGTCTTAACACAATAAGAAAATGCAATGAAGGCTATGTTAACCAGTTTGATGAAAATATTTCAAATTGTATATAAAACTAGCACATTGTACCCCATGATTGCATTAATGTACACAGTGATAATTTAATAAAAAAAGAAAAGAAATAAATAAAATATTAAAGAAAACCTCTTAGAACTTAATAGTAAGAAAACTAACAACTTGATTAAAGTATGGGCAAAGACTTGAACCTCACCAAAGAAGATATATAGATGGAAAATAATCATATGAAAAAATGTTCCATATGAGAACCTACTGTCTTAGGACCACATGTGGCCCCTTGACCAAATCCAAACTTCACAGAACAAATCCTAGGAAGGTCAGTTTGCCAGGTTCTTACAAAACTAAATAGACTCACCATATGATCTAGGTATCAAGCTTCTTGATATTTACCCACAGAAGTTGAAAACTCACATCCACACCCCCCCCCCCATATGACTGTTTGTAGCAGCTTTATTCATAATTGCCCAAATTTGGAAGCAACCAAAATCTTCCTCAGTAGGCAGATGGATGAATAAACTATGGTACATCCAAACAATGGAATATTATTCAGAGTTAAAAAGAAATGACCGATCATGCCGTGAAAAGACACAAGGAACCTTGACTGCCTATTACTAAGTGAAAGAAGCCAATCTGAAAAGGTTACATACCGTGTGATTCCAAGTATATGACATTATGGAAAAGGCAAAACTATAGAGAAAACAAACAGGTCAGGAGCTATTAGGGGTTGGGAGAAAGGAGAGCTTGAATAGGTGGAGCACAAGAAATTTTTAGGATAGTGAAATCACTGTATGATACTGTAATGATATGTGTCATTATACATTTGTCTAAACCCATAGAATGTACAACATCAAGGGTGAACCAACAGTGTCACGCCACCAAAGGAAAAACACATTTTTAAAAAAAGAACCGTAATAAAAACTAGGAACTCTGGGTGATAAGGTGTCAAGGTCGGTCATCAGGGGCAACAAATGCACCACTGGTGGGAGAAGTTGATAGTGGCAGAGCTATTCTTGTGTGGGGAAAGGGAGATAAGAGAAGTCTTTGTACCTTCCACTCAATTTTGATGTAAACCTAAAACTGTTCTAAAAAACAAATTCTATTAAAAAATAGTGCTTGAACCATTAGATATCCATATTAAAAAAACAACCAAAAAACTGAACTTCAATTCTTATCTCACACTATGCACAAAATTAACTCAATATGTATTGAAACCTAATAGAATAAAAACAGAAACTACTATATTTCTGCAACTATATAAGGAAGTCTTTGTGATTTGGGCATAGATAAATATTTCTCCTAACCATAAAGAAAAATATTAACATACTGGACTTTATCAAACTGTAAAACTTCTGGGCTTTGAAATAAAATATTAAAACGATAAAAGGTGGAGCTTAAATATCTGTACTACATATGTATCCAGAATACACAAAGAAGTTTTACAAACTACCTTTAAAATGGAAAAAATATTTAAACATAAACTTCACAAACGAAAAGATGTTTAACATCCTAATTTTTAGGGAAGTGGAAATTTAAAAGCATTAAGAACAAAAGCACACAAGGAATTAACCACTTCACACCCACTAGAATGTCCAAAATTAGGAAGACTCACAATATCAACTATGTGAGAACATGGAGCAAGTCTCCAGAATCTTCATTCTGTAATCCTCATACATTCCTGGTAGAAATGAAAAAAAGCTTAAACAACAATTTGCCTGCTTTTTATGAGATTAAATATACACTAACTATATGAATCTAGCAGTTCCACCAGTAGGAATTTACTGAAAAGAAATTAACACCATGTTCACACACAGACTTAAACATGAATACTCATGGCAGCTTTATTTGTAATATATAAAACTTGGCAAAAATCTTAATGCCTATCAACTGATATTATGGTTAAACAAATTTTGGCATATCCATGCAATGCTGGTCAGAAATAAAAAGAAATAGAATATTGATATATACAACATGAAAGAATCTCAGAATAATTATACAGAGTGAAAGAAGCCAAACAAGAAAGTATATGCTCCATGATTCCAATTTAAAAAAATTCTACAACATGCAAACTTGACAAGGGGCAAATGAATGGAGAGGTATACATGTCAAAACTTCAGCATTGTACAGCTTTTTGCATGTAAATTATACCTTCATAAAATCAATTCAAAAAGAGAAAAGATCAGCTCTCATTAACCTTTTCTTCCTCTCTTAGGTTAACCTCTTTCTTAGTATGTTCAATGAGTCTGACTCTGCCTGTGTTACTTTCAGATGACTCATTCCGGACTCGTAATGCCAGTAGTGTTCCAACTTCTTTTTCTCCTAGTACACCCTTAGCAAGTACCTCCCGTGGGACAGCTAACTCAGTTGATCCCAAGAGCGGTGGAAGTAAAGACACACAACCACGGAAGGCTACCTTGTAAGTAATCAAGTGATGTCCTACCTGGTGTATTGTCTACTCTTTTTTCTTAGTGCACTTTCCTCACCTCTTAAATACCTTCCAAAGAATAGAAAATGTCTATAATGAAGACCTGTTATAAGTTAAAAGGGATTATTATCACATGTGACCCTGTTATGTGAGGTAGTTTATATAGGATGATTTATTTATGGCAAAGGCATTGTAACCTTAATTTAAGGTGACCAGATTTTAACATTGGTAAAGCGGGACACCATTGACCAGGGGAGGGGGGCAGGGGGGTTCTTAATTAAAAATTTGGTCTATATGGAGCAACAAAAATTTTCATGGAATGCAAAAATAGTATTGTAATATATATATTTGTAACAATCTACAAATACAATACATTAAAAAAAATTATGTATAGAGTGGTGCCTGTGGCTCAAAGGAGTAGGGTGCCAGCCGCATATGCTAAAGGTGGCAGGTTCAAACCCAGCCCTGGCAAAAAAAAAAAAAAAAAAAATATAGAATAATATTATACTCTGGCACATATCTCCCCTGAGAGAAAATTTTTTTTTTTAGTAGATTGCTGTCATTGTTTAAAAGGTCATGAAAAATTTCACAAGAATTTGTTAAATTATATTTCACACATAAAATGGCTGTCAAAGTTTCAACACTTAATTGTGATTTTTCTGATGTCCACACTTTATTTACCGTAGAAAAACGCGTTCAGTCACAGCATTAGTTCCTGGTAAGGACAGTGCGTATCCCACAGTTTTTAGTGCATTATTGTATGGAACATGGTTTATTTCAAAATGATGAAATATTTCTAAACATTTTTTCTCTATTGTGATTTTTGCTGATGCCCAAGAGTTAACCTTTTCCTTATCAATATTTTTTTTAATAATGATACCTTGTAAGTCGTAAGTGTCACTTTCAAGGCCAGCGCTAGACTTTTTGCTGCCACTATAAAATATAAATAATATGAGTACTATCTGCTAAATTCATGAAATAAATAAATAAATTACTTACCTAAATTATCTGAATAGCTGATTTGTTGACATCACTTGTTTAACTAGCATTAGCATGCAGTACGATGTGTATCATCTGAAGGACAGTTACAAAATGTTTTCGTGGTTGCCAATGCCAAAAAATGCCATTGTTCATTAAGTCCCAACAATGGTGGTCGAATTCTAACAACTGATCAACAGTGCAAACTTTGATAAGCAGTTCTCGATAATCAGTTCTCAACAATTATTTGTTATTATTAAAGTTTAACATTATAAAATTAACAATAATAATATAAAACTCATATCCTGGCGAAATAGCCACATGGCAGTGTTGGGACCAGAATTGCTGCTGAGAGACCACCACACACATGTAAAGACAAATAGTGCTTTATTTTGCAAGCATATGCCTGGACCACTCTTCCCTTCGGCATGGCTGGAGGAAGGGCGACCCCCTAGTGAAGCAAGCTGAAGTTTTTAAAGCGCATAGAGGAATTTCATCTGGTGTTTTGTCGGGCAGGGCTGCTATTGGCTGAGCTGTTTATGGTTAGGGACCCCCTAGAGAGGGGAGAGCTACTTGTTTGTTCCAGACAGTTTGGCTCCTTGTGAGCTAATTGTCCTTGCCTAGAAGTGAGGGAAGGAGCCAGTCTCCTTCTGATACCAATTCCACCTGGGAAACCTTGCCCAGGAGGGGAGTAGGGAGTTTACATTAGCCTTTTCATTTCCCAATGAAGTTACATTAACCTCTTCATTCCCAAATGGAGTTACATTAACCGTTTCAGCCGCCATATATTCCCTTCCCATTCTCCCACCATTCCCTAGCTTGTCATGCATTCTTTCCAAAAATCGGGACTTTTTAAAAATGCTGCAGGACATGGGACAAATTGTTATAAATTGAGACTGTCCCGCCCAAAGTGGGACATCTGGTCACCTTACCTTAAATAATCAAAAGAAACATTTAAATGGCTCTTGCTAATATCTGAGATTTATTTTTTTCTATGAAACATTTACATTCAGGAAATGTATTTCTGAGATGACAGCCCTTTAAACATCTAGCTTAAGTATCCTGTATTCAATCAGCTGATGTCACTTAAGGAACCCAGAGTTCTGGTCCCATAAATTGGACATATTTACAGACTATAGTTGTGCCTTCAAGTTGAGCCTAGATTCTCTTTTCCCCCAACAGCTCCTATTATATGCACTTTTGTATCTTGTTTGATTTGTTGAAGCTTTTGTTTCTGTGAGCTTAAAAATTTAAGGGTAATACCATAAAAGTCACCATGATAGAGACTACATCAAGGTTTAAATGATATACCAGGGTGCCCAAACTATAGTTAACAGATTTGCTGCTTCATTCACGACACCTGAGCTTCCACTAAGAATAGATTTTAAACAAGGTTTAGATTTTCTTTTAAAGATATTTCACTTAGTTCATGGGTGTTTTCAGATAGTTTCTCAAATGCCATCTTTTTGCAGAAACTCAAAGCTGGAGGCCCTTTTAGAACTGAACTGTATTTTATTTCAAATTCTGATTGGCTTTTGGTATGCCAATATAGATGTATATACACAACTTCATTCAGAGTTTAGAAAAAAATTTATTGAATTGAGTTTAAGGAAAAAGTAAAACTGTATAATACAAAAAGCAGTAGTAATAGAAGAAAGTCATAGTATTGCTTATTAGTAGAGTTAATACTGTACTTTTATTTATAGAGAATACTCTTTACCTATACAACTATTGCTCTAATAGTTATACTATGAGAATTCCATTTAAAACTCATGAGAGTAGAGGCAGACAGGGTAATGACCTACTGAGAGCACTGACCTGGGGTCTTGTGTGCCCACGTTCCAGCAGCCGCTAAGCGGCTGTGCACAGTTCAGCTCCACACTCTGGGCCTCACTGTGCACATCTGTCACATGACAGGGCCAATTCCCAGTTCATCTAAGTTGCCTTCCAGCTCTGGCATCCTGACATCTTTTCTCTCTCTAATAACATTAGAAATAATGCATTTTCTTCACTTATTTTTCTAAACACCATTGGGATTTTTTAAAGTAAAGACCGTTGAAACCTAATATATTTATGCCAGCTCCCTATTTCAGGTTATTACCTTTGCCTGTTCTTTCATTGTTGAGAATGAATTTCTTTTTTATAGAGTCTTGCTAAATATATAACAGTTATACGATCAATAATATTTATGTATATAATTGGTGTTTTCAAGATGAATCTAGAAACAAACACTCTGATAACAAATCATATCAGGTTTGTTTCTTCTCTTCTGATTCTGAGGGAGGAGTGTTGGTATCCATAGCTGCTTTTTTGATATGTGACTACCTGTATAAGTCCATAACTATATTTCCATATAATGTGTCTCTAATATGGACTCTTTCACGAGTGTACTGCCACATATCTGGAACAGGTGGTTAATATCTATTATACATTGGTCTTTTTTCTGGGAAGAATTACACGCAATTTACAACCATGTCATATCCACATGAACATATGTTCCTTTTGTTTAAAATAAGTGTATGAAGTGATTTCAGAAACTATTAATCATCTCAGTTTTAGCTTCTCAAAAAAATTCTATGCAATATGTTCTCTAGGCTTTCAGTGTTAAAGATGATAAAATCTGGCATTTAGGAAAATTATTGTCTTAAAGGAAGTACAGGTATGCATCTTGAATTTAAGAATAGATAAATCATATATACTTAGGACTGTAATTTCTGTTATACAAAATTTAAAATGTAGAGAAATTTGCATGAATTAAATTCAGTGCTATGTTAAGAATACATAGAATTTTTCACAATTACAGGTAATTCCAAGGCTGGGCACAGTGGCTCACACCTGTAAGCCACTCTGGGAAGCCAAGACGGGTGGATTGCCTGAGCTCAGGTTCAAGATTAGTCTGAGCGAGGGCAAGATCCCATCTCTAAAAGTAGCCAGGCATTGTGATGGGCACCTGTAGTCTCAGCTACTTGGGAGGCTAAGGCAAGGGAATCACTGGAGCCCAAGAATTTGAGGTTGCTGTGAGCTGTGATGCCACAGCACTGTACTGAGGGTGACAAAGTGAGACTCTGTCTCAGAAAAAAAAAAGAGAAAAAGGTAATTTCAAGAAATCTTTAATTCATTTTTCCCCTTAATTAGAATTCTCATATGCAAGTATTAAGTTTATTCAAGGTAAATTATCTGTATTTTAAAAATTTACTTTGTAAGCATTATATGAATAATTTTTAAAATCGTCTTTTTCTCTCTTCTCCTCTCCACCCTCCCCCTTTCCCTCTTTCTTCTTTTCTTCCTTCCTAAGAAAATCCAGAAAATCTAATCCTTAAATCAACTGCTTGATGAAGGAGGCAAAACAAAGACGGCTGGAGATAATGTGTTTGATGGACAAAAGCTAAAACAATGGCTCGGCTTTTTTTTTTTTTTTTTTTACAGGAATGAAAAAAGAGACATAATGGCAGCTGATGTTAAACTTTCCATATTTGAAATTAGATGCCCTAGGAGTTCTAATATATATTTCTTGAATAATAATGTGGTTACAGAATTCCAATGTTACAGTGAAGTGTAATGAAAAACAACTTTAGGAATGTGCTTTACTGCTGCAAAAGAGACAAATCTGCCTTTATTTGTGCAGGAAACCAGCTATTTAATTGTTCTAGAGTTTTAGCATTTAAAAAATTGTCCAAATCAACTGAAATTGCGCTAGCTAGCTAATCACTTGAAAGGAGGCCTTGGAAAGTAAGAAAGTTACCGCATTTTCTCACAACTCTCCAAGCTCAATTGAAAAGTCATGCTGAAAGGGTACAAACCGCTGTCTGCAATTTTATCAGTCCTATGATTACCGTAACAATATGCTGTACCTGGACATGCCCAGATATAAATTTGGCAATGAAAATCTATAAGGTTTCTGATAACATTGAGCTATAAATACCTTAAAAATAATAGATTGATGATTTCCTTTATTTCCTAGAAGAATTTATTTTATAAATACTTTGTTTACATTTTAGATTGTATTTGTCCTTACTAATTTAAAATGATGAATCTAGTTTGAAATCAGCTGTTATTACAAGCTATCATGCTTAAGCTATGTCAACAGCATTTATTTGTACCAATGCTAAAATTTCCATCAAAATTTGCCTGTGGAACATATCCAGTTCTTAATTTTAAAATTCGGTTCTTGAGATAGACTGTATGAAGCTATTGTCAGCTTCTCAATTTCAAAATGCAATCAGCATATAACTATATTGATATTAGAAAATATTTGTTTTTTAAAATATATTGATGTATGACAAAGATGATCGAATTTGTGAATGCATATGTGTGTGTGGTTACTTTTTATAATGTGAAATAATGAATAATGAATTTACTCAAAATAAAACATAGGTTAATGAGATACCTGTGTTTGTGAAAAAAGTTTTAAATACTTTTCCTGCAGTTTTTATTCTAGAATTAAAAAGTAGACAATTCATTTTTAAGTAATGAGTAAGAGAAACATACCAATGCCAACACTGAAGAGGACAGTTACTCAGTGTGAAACTTTTTTGTGCTATTTTTTTCCCCTTTTTTCCCCCATATGGCCTCTTTTGGGCTATTTTTAGTGATTCTTTTTTTCTTTTTAAATGTCAAAATATTTGGGGGGTATAAATATTTTCGGTTACATGGATCACTTTTAAAATGCTTGAGTCATGGTTATAAATGTACCCTTCACCTAGATAGTCTTCATCGTACCCATTAGGTAGGTTTCTGCCCATCCTCACCTTCTCCTTCCCCCTGCTTGATTTCCATTAAGTTTTACTTCCCTCTAAGCCAGTGGTTCTCAACCTTCCTAATGCCGCAACCCTTTAATACAATTCCTCATGTTGTGGTGACCCCTAACCATAAAATTATTTTCGTTGCTACTTCATAGCTATAATTTTGCTACTTTTATGAATCGTAATGTAAATATCTGATATGCAGGATGTATTTAGGCGATCCCTGGAAATGGTCATTCGACCCCCAAAGGGGTCGTGACCCACAGGTTGAGACCCGCTGCAAGCACATGAGTCCTCTTCAGTTAGTTCCAATTTAGTAGTGAGTACGCGTGATGTTTGTTTATCCAATCTTTAGATATTTCACTTAAGATAATGGTCTCTAGTTCCATCTAAATTATTATGAAAGACCTGAAGTCATCCTTCTTTGTGGCTGAGTAGTATTCCATGGTATACCTATAGTCATGAATTAACAGGCATTTTGGTTGATTCACATCTTTGCAATTCTGAATTATGCGGCAATAAACATTTGATTACCGATGTCATTGGATAAAATGAATTCAGTAGCAGAATTGCTGAATCAAGTGATACTTCATTTAGTTCTTTGAAGGTATCTCCATACAGTTTTCCATAGAGGTTGTACTGATTTGCAGTCCTGCCAACAGTGGAGAGCACTCCTTTTTCTCTTCACCCCCACCAGCATCTGTTATTTTAGAACGTTTTAATAAAAGTCCAAATCGTTGCAAAAGGCATTAAAATATCACTTAAGGTGATATCTCATTGTGGTTTAATTTGCATTTCCCTGATGATTAATGGTATTGAGCATTTTTCATATGTTTGTTGGCCATTGTCTATGTTCTTTTGAAAAACTTCTGTTCTTGTCTTTTGGCCACTTTTTGATGGGTTGATTTTTTTTTTTCTTGCTGATTAGCTTGAATTCTTTGTGTATTCTACAAATGTTTTCTCCCATTCTGAAGATTGTCTATTTGCTCTATTGATCATTTCCTTGCCTGTATAGAAGCTTGTTAAATTTAATTAAGTCCCATTCGTTTTTGGTGGTGGTGGTGGTGTACTGTGATTGCCATTGTGGTCTTCCTCCTAAAATCTTTGCCAGGGCTGATATCTAAAAGAGTTTTTCTAACATTTCCTTCTGAAATTCTTAGTGTTTCATCCTTATGTTTAAGTCATTTATCCTCTTGAATTAATTTTTGTGGGTGGTGAGAGGCATAGATCCTGTTCCATTCTTCTTGCATATGGTTATCCAATTTTTCCAGCACTGTTTATGGAATAGGAATTCTTTTCCCCAGTATATATTTTTTTTCTGCTTTGTGAAAGACCATTTGGCTGTATGTGGATAGTTTTACTTCTGAGTTTTCTATTTTGTTCTATTGGTTTATTTTTAATATCCTTCACCAAAGGATAAGGATAGTAAGTGGAATTGTTCAACTACTCATTTTTTCAGTAGTTAAAATTTGGTAGGTATTGGAAACTTGCTAGTACTGGTTAAAGGAATTCAAAATATTCTCTGTGGATTTCATATAACTGTTTTAACTATGTCTCCTACTAACATCAATAATGTGGAATTGAGGCTAAGTGCCTGTAGCTCAGCAGCTAGGGCACCAGCCACATACTGGAGCTGGCAGATTTGAATCCAGCCTGGGCCTGCCAAACAACGACAACTACAACCAAAAAAATAGCTGGGCGTTGCAGCAGGCACCTGTAGTCCCAGCTACTTGGGAGGCTGAGGCAAGAGAATCGCTTAAGCCCAAGAGTTTGAGGTTGCTGTGAGCTGTGACGCCATGGCACTCTACCAAGGGCAACATAGTGAGACTCTGTCTCAAATAATAATAATAATAATAATAATAATCATGTGGAATTGAATATATTACAATCTGGGGAATTTGATTTATAACAGGACATCAAAGCTGCATCAGTTTTTCTAGTACTTTGATTCATAGTTGGGATTCAATCTGTTATTTTAAGATAGAGAATTTCAATTTGTTTTTTAAATAATAAATCTACCAAAGTTATAAGCTTTTATTTTCTCCATGCAAGTGGGAGAAGTGGAAATTGATTTCACAGAAAAGAATCACTATTATAAAGTTCAGGAATATAGAGAAGTCAATTTCTAGGCACTAAATTATCAATTAAAGTAGTTAATCAAAATTACTGTTGGAAGTTTTTTTTTTTTTTTCACAGAACATGATAATTCCTAAAATCTTTGAAATATTCTTCCAAGGACACATATATAGAAACAGAAGAAAGAAAAAAAAATGGTAGCAATTACGGATATCTACACATATTTCCATTTATACCAGAAACTAGATTAATACTCTTGCAAAAGTTCTATTTAACAGCTTTCAAATCAATCTTTTCAATTGTATGACAAAGAATGGGTCTCCCTCCAGCTTCAGGACAAAAGGGACATCTCCTTGATCTTTTTTTATTTTAAATTATTAAAACTTCTCTTTTTAAGAATATGTCCTAGAATGTCACAAGTTAGCATTCAATCAAAAAATAAGCAGAACTTAATTTTACTGCAGAAATGGAGATAGGGCTAAAAAGGATTTTACTTGATAGAGGTAAAATAAGGAACATGTACAATTTTTCTTGTATAATTTCATACCCATTTTCAAAGTCATTGCTAGTTTGACTTCCTGAGCTTGGACATTCTGGAATGATGAATCCATTTTGCCATGTAGTTAGCGGGCATGTGAGAAATCTTAGAAGTGATAGGAAACAGGCTTCTCACCTTGAATAAGAGTTTTACAGTGAAGATAAAACAAATGAGATTAATTCAATAACTCATTTTCAGTGGTTATAGTGTATGTGTGTGTGTGTGTGCACACACATGCATGTGTATATGTGTGAGTCTGTATAGGAACAATCTTTAGAACTTAATATATACATAGTGAAGACTTGTACAATGTTCAGAGTTTTTCCTCCTTAGTGGGAAACTGAGTTTGTGTGTGTGTGTGTGTGTGTGTGTGCGCATGTGAGGTAAATTTCATTTTTCATGGTTCTGCATTTCACCATGCCTTTATGCTTGGGAAATCTGAAACTGAGTTTCTTAGAAACTTCTTCAAGCAACTGTGGGGGAACATTTAAAAATATTTTTAAAATAGAGAACAGGGGCATTTTCTGCCTTAAAGAGTAATATATTAGGTATAATTGTTATGCTGCTGTTGCTTTGCAGTGTATGTGGTGGGAAGAAGGTAAGGGTCTGATCTGCATGCTATATGAACTCCTCAATAACAATGAACCTTTTTATAACTGGGTTTGGACTTATTTATTTCAGAGGATATTGCATTCTGATACTCTGTTTTCTAGATTTCATTTTTTAAAAGTGGGAAATTGGACTGAACCCTCTTTTATTTCTCTTTCTACTGTTTTTTTCACAAACAAATCTGACTAATTGAACAAAAACAAGTCACTTAAAATGCCATTTGAAGTTAGTCTTCTACCTTTGTCTCTCTTCCTAGGGCCTAGAACTCCCTGGCCCTTTATGAATGTCAATTAGTGCTCTTGGAAGGAAGACAGGAGTGAAGGAATGTCCAGGGTTTAGAATGATGGAAAGTCAGTATTTAGACTGTCTCTTATTACTACCTATTCACATTACTCTGATTTATATTAGTAATAAGACAACTAATCAATAAATTAATTTAGGTCTATTTAAACATAAGATAGCAGACAAATCCAATTAGGCATTTAGTCAACACAGTTGACAATACAAGTTAGTTACCTCTATGTTTGTGAATCTCTGAATTTACTACTAAAATATTTTCTTGTTTCTATGACAGAAAATGACTGCTTAAGAAAGTTGCAGGGGTGTTTGCTATTATTCTTCACCTGGGGGCAAAGTCTATGCTTACATTCTGTTTAACCATGGTGGGTAACTGCAAGCTGAGTGCAGACTGCCTGTTTAGCTGTACCCCATCAGATGTTTTATATAGAAAGAAGGAAGAATGAAAAAGGCTTGACAAGGACAAGACTCAGGAGAGGCAGTCCTCTGACTCTGCCATTGCCACCCTGGGCGATCTTGGACAAATATTTTCCTTTCTCTAAAGTATAAGGTGTGACTTATCTTTTATGTGTGGTAGGCATCCTGCTAAGGCACACAATACCATAAGGGCCTATGAAATGTTTTACTTCGGACAGTAAGCAGACTTCAACTGCAT